TTCCATTTCATTTTTCGTTGTTTTTTTTTTTCCTTTTCTCCCCGTTTTCCCTGTGTTCTGTTCCCCCCTCCCTCCCCGCAGCCCATTGTTCGCGGCTCCAAGGCCCCCCGGGATGGGACTCCCGGGGGCCGGGACGGGACCCTGGCGTGGCTTCTGGACGAGCTGGAGGCTGTGTCCGTGTCCCGCTCCAACTCCCTGCGCCGGGACAGCCCCCCCTGCCCCCCCCGGGCCCCCCCGTGCCCAGAGAACGGCCTGGCCCCCGCTGGCAAGAGCCGTCGGGGGGGCCGGGGGGAGCCAGAGCCAAGATCCCCCAAAGGTGTGGCCGAGCGGGACCCCCCGACCGCGCCCGCCCCCGGGGGGCTGCGGTGGGAGGAGAAGCGCCCCAAGTCCAGCTCGGCTGGCGAGGGACCCCCCCGGCCCCCCGCCCGCGAGCAGCGCCCACTCTCGGGGCCTGACCTGCGGCCCCCCGACATTCCCGGCGCTCCCGGAGCGGGGCCGAAGACGGCGCCGCAGCCTGGACGCCCCTTCCACACCTACCCCCGCGCTGACACCGACCCCGCCCGGGGCCCCCCCGCCCAGGTAAAGGGGGGTCCCGCCCCAGGCTCTTCCTCCTCTTCCTCATCCTCCTCTTGTTCTTCGGGAGCCGCGCCTCTGCTCCTCTTCCTCGCGGCTCCAGCGGGGTGAGTGTGTGCCAAAGGCCACCTGCTTCCCTTCACAGTGCCATGTCCTTGATACCGGAGCAGCTTTCTCTTTTTTTCTTTTCCTCACTGCTTGTCCTCTTCCTCCTTGGAAGCGGCTTCTCTGCTCCTCTTCCTCATGGCTCCAGTGGGATCCACCTGCCTCCCTTCCTGGTGCCATGTTCTTGGCGTCAGAGCAGTTTTGTTTTCTTTTTCTTTCTCTTTTTCTTTTTACCTCACTCTCAGTTTTCTCTTCTTGCTTGGAACTGGTTACTCTCGTGTTCTCATGGCTGCACTAGAATCCACCACCTTTCTGGTGCCATGTCCTTGGCAGCAGAGCACCTTTCTTTTCTTTCATCCTCTTCTTCGCTTTGCTTTTTCCTCTTCTTCCTTGGAAGTGTCCTCTTTGCTCCTCTTTCTCACAGCTCCCATGCTCCGGTGGGGATCAGGCCATGCCAAAGGCTTCTGCAGCTGCCCTGTCCTTCCCAGTGCTGCATCCTCGGCTCCAGAGCACCTTCCTCTTCCTCACTCAGACCTTTCCTTTGGCTTCTGGCTGAAGGCCTCAGTGTTGGCTCCCAACACTCCGGGGCACATATCCTGTGGGATTTTGGGAGGCTGACCCCTCTGTCCCCCTCTTCTCTCAGGCAGAGCATCGGCCGGGACGCCCACAGGAGGTGACGCCCAATGGGCCGGTCCCCACTGGTGGCCCTGGCGGTCCCGGCTCCTCCTCTTCCTCCCACGCCCCTGGCCCCCCACGCCCCAAGGCCCCAGAGCCACCACCGCCCCCTGGGCCGGACCCTCCCGCTGTGCGGCCCCCCGGGCCCCCGCCTGCCCCAGGGGGGCCCCAGCGCGTTTCCCATGAGCAGTTCCGGGCGGCGCTGCAGATGGTGGTGGACCCCGGGGACCCCCGCACGTACCTGGACAACTTCATCAAGATTGGGGAGGGCTCCACGGGCATCGTGTGCATCGCCACCGTGCGCGGCTCCGGCAAGCTCGTGGCCGTCAAGAAGATGGACCTGCGCAAGCAGCAGCGGCGGGAGCTCCTCTTCAATGAGGTGAGGGGAGAGGGGGCTCCCCCGGAGCTCCCTCCGGCGGTGCTGGGTAGGTCTCAGGGGTCCCAGCTCCGGGTTCCCCCCCGCAGGTGGTGATCATGCGGGACTACCAGCACGAGAACGTGGTGGAGATGTACAACAGTTACCTGGTGGGCGACGAGCTCTGGGTGGTCATGGAGTTCCTGGAGGGCGGTGCCTTGACCGACATCGTCACCCACACCAGGTACCCCTGGTTCCCTCTCCCTGGATGCCTCCTGTGCTCTCCCACATCCCCCTGACCCCCCCTCCCCCATGTGCAGGATGACAGAGGAGCAGATCGCGGCCGTGTGCCTGTCTGTGCTGCGGGCGCTTGCCGTGCTCCACGCCCAGGGCGTCATCCACCGCGACATCAAGAGCGACTCCATCCTCCTCACGCACGACGGGCGGGTACAGCCTCCCTCCCCCCACAAAACCCCCCTGCACCCCTTAGCACTCCCTGTCCCCAGCCCCAACTGCCTCTGACTCCATTCACAGGTGAAACTCTCGGATTTTGGGTTCTGCGCCCAAGTGAACAAGGAAGTGCCGCGGCGCAAGTCTCTGGTGGGGACTCCGTACTGGATGGCTCCTGAGCTCATCTCCCGCCTGCCCTACGGCCCAGAGGTGGGGCTGGGGGATTATGGGGTGGGCTTGAGGGCACAGGGTGGGTTTGGGGGCGTTTGGGGTGTCTGTGGAATCCCAAGTTCATTTCCCACCTGTCCTACAGCCCAGAGGTGAGGCTAGGGGGTTATGGGGTGGGCACAGGGTTTAGGGTGGGTTTAGGGGTGCACAGAGTGGATTTGAGGAGCTCTGAGTGGCCTCACCTTTAAGCCCCCCTGCCTTTTTTTGGCGCCCCACCCCTCACCAGGTGGACATCTGGTCGCTGGGTGTGATGGTGATTGAGATGGTGGATGGGGAGCCCCCCTATTTCAACGAGCCCCCCCTCAAGGCCATGAAGCTGATCCGTGACAACCTCCCCCCCCGGCTCAAGAACGGCCACAAGGTAACTTGGAGAGGGGAGGTCCCCACTCTCAGGGAATCCCTGGGATATCTGATCCCCCCTCTGCTCCCCCTCCCCCCCAGGTGTCACCCTCCCTCAAGGGGTTCCTGGAGCGGATGCTGGTGCGGGACCCGGCGCAGCGGGCGAGCGCCCCAGAGCTGCTCCGACACCCCTTCCTGGGGGTCGCGGGCCCCCCAGCCTGCATCGTCCCCCTCATGCGGCAGCACCGGCTCCGGTGAGACTCCCCTGTGGAGGGGGGAGACCCCCCCGGCCTCCTCCTCCTCACTGGCACCCCTGAACTGGAGCGGCACTGGGACATAACTGGTGGGGTGCTGGCAAGGAGCACCGGCCTCCCAAAGTTGTACTACTGAGCTGGGGGGGGGCACTCAGTGCCGTGGGCCCCCCCTAGCAGAGATCTAGAGGTTGGAGGGGGGGCATCATCCTGGAGATTTGAGGGTGCAGGGGCTCATCCCAGTACCCTCCCCCAAGCAGCGATTTTGGGGGATGGGGGGCTCATCCTGGTGCTCCCCTTCTTTCCCATTCCTGTCAGAGACTTGGGCTACACTTGGCCTCACCCCAGTACCCCCTCCCTTTGGGACCCATTTTGGGGCATTTCCCTCTTTTTTTGTTTCTTTTAACCCCTTTTTCTAACCCCATCGGGCACTGGGATGTGGCCCCCCTCCATCTCCATAGGGGAAGTGGTCCCCAAAACTACAGTCCCCTCCACCACACTACTGATTTGGGGTCCACCCCTGGCCCTCCCCCCCTGTTTTTGTTGATTTTGGGTTTTTTTGTTGGTTTCCCTCCCCCATTTTGTTTTTTAACAAAGTGATATTTATATCGTTGGGTTTTGTACCGCGTGGGACGGGGGGGCCCCAGGGGGGACACGGGGCCCCCCCAAATTACACGTGTCCTTTTGGAGCCCCCCGTGTGCCGTGTGGTTCTTTGCATGGGGGACACACCTGCGGGCACCCCCTGCATCCCCACTGGGGGAAATGGGGAATCACGGCCTGTGGGGTGTGGGGATCCCCCTTCTGCCCACTCAAAGACCCCCAGGAGGGAGGACTGGTGACCCCCCCAATAAAACAACCCCCAGGCAGGAGCTGCTGCTGCCTCAGGGCTTTATTGGCTGCAGGAGAGGGGGCAGGGACAGGTCATGGCCATGTCGACACGTGTCAGTTCATGGGACACGTGTGGGCTCACAAGGGGCGGGGCATGGCCCATGTTGACTTGTGTTGACTCACATTGGCCGAGGTTGACTTGTCTTGGCCTTCGTTGTCATGTGTTGGCCCGCGTTGGTGTGACTTGGCCCACGTTGACTCGCGTTGACTTGCGTTGGCCCATGTTGACTCCCTTTGGCCCATCTTGGTTAACTTTGCTGTGTTCCGGCCCACACTGACTCATATTGGCCCCCGTTTGGCTCACGTTGACTCGCGATGACCCCTGTTGACACGTTGTTCCCCCCGGCTCTTCCCCCCTGCCCGTGCAGCCGCGCCCTCACTTGCAGGTGCAGTAGTACCCACGGATCTCATCGTTCCAGTCTCCGAAGAGCCCCCGGCGCACCTCCTGCAGCCGCGGCACCGCGCCAGAGCTGAAGCGCCGCGTGTTGCCCTTCTTGCCCTTGCGCGACCACACGTTGAGCTCGCAGCGGGTGCCCACCACGAGTGAGGAGGCGTGGCCGGACCACCCGCGGGGCATGTAGGGCACGTCGCTGTTCGGCTCCACCACCAGCACGTCGCCAGCGCAGCACTGGTCGTAGTAGGGGCTGTTGTCCTTGTAGAGCAGGGCGCAGATGCGGGTGCCGTTGACTGGGCGCAGGTCGGCAGGGGCAGGGCACTGGGCCTCCACCCCGCCACCCAGCACGGCCACCAAAGCCACCAGTGTCACCAGCAGCGCCGACGCCATCGCGGAGGCCTCCCGGGCGCCAAAGGCCCCCTGTATATACCTGAGCCTCCAAGGCCACGGGGGGGGGGGGGGGCGGCGGGGACACACCTGGGAGGGGACACAGGTGTGCACGTTCCACACCACCCCCCCCCCACTCCCAGGAAGGGACACAGGTGTGTGAGTGTCCCCAAGGTCATGGCACACCCCTCATGGGAAGGGACACAGGTGTCCTGTGCCCCCCCTCCATCCCCCTGGGACCCCCCAAAGTTTGCAGCCTGCCCAAGATGGGACCAGGACCTCCCAAAGCGTGCAGCCCCTCAGAAGGGACCCAAGTGTCTGGGACCACTCCTGACCCCAGAGAGGGCCTCAGGTGTTCTGTCCCCACCAGGACCTCCCCCCACCCCCTCTGGGAAGGGACCCAGGTGACCCGCTTGGTGTGTCCCCTCCACCCAAGGCCGGGATGGGGCCCATGTGCCCCGCAAGCAGTGGCCCCGCCTTTATTTGCATATTAATGAGTCCACGCCACGCCCTGTCACGGCACCGCCGATCTCCCCTCGGAGGTCTCCATGGCAACCGCAGGTAGGAGCGGGGATTGATGCCTCATTAGCATATCTCGGCCCCGCCTACATGGCGGGAGGGGCGGACGGGGTGGGGGAGTCTCGGGGAGGGGGCTCGAAACCCCCCTGTGTGGTCAGAGGGAACCCCTCCAGGCGGAGACCCCCAACAACAGACAAGGGACCTCACCTAGCACACAGGGGACCCCCCCCAGACAGGGCTGACCCACCCTCTGCCAGAGGGGCCCCTCAAGACACCGCCCCCCGCCCATTCACACACGTGTTTCTGCCCCGGGGGGGCCACAGGTTTTTAATGTAAAAACTCGTGTTAAACACTGCGGGGGGGGCCGGGGGGGCGGCTGGCAGGGGTAAACTGGGGGTGGTGGTTTTCGGAGGGGGCGGGCAAACAGGGGGGAAGGTTGGGGCAGCGAGGAAAGGGGGAAATGAGAATGGGGGGGCTGGGGGGGCCCCCCCAGGGTTATCCAGACCAGCCAGATAGGAGCCCCCGGGCCGAGTTGAGGGGGTTCAGAGGCCACGGGGGGGAGGGAAAGGGACACATCGGGGAGGGGGCCCAGGCCTCCTGGGAGCCCCCCCCTTTGCCCCCTCCCCGGGGGGGGTTTGGGGGGCTGCGGGTCTCGTGTCATCTGTGCAGACATGTCAGTGGCGTGTGCGGGGCCCCCCTGGCCCCGCCGGCCCGGCCGAAGGCACCGCGGGGGGGGCACGCCGGGCACACGCGTGGCTGGGAGGGGGGGCACACGCGAGTTCCGGGGACACCCCCTCCACGCGTGTCTTGGGGGGGCACACACATTTTAGGGCGCACACACATGTCCCAGGTGTGTGTCCTGTGTGGAGGAATGGGGGGGGAGGGGGGGGCACACGCTTGTCACAGATTCCCGGGGGCTGTCCTGCCCCGGGCTTGGAGGGGGCAGGGGGAACAAGTTTCCAGACTACCCCTCGCGTGTCGGGGCGCACACAAGTCCCAGGTGTGGGTCCCCCCCCGGGTGCCCACGGGGGGGTCAAGGTTGCATACAGGTGCCCCCAGGGCGGGAGGGGGGTCCAGGGGACACTTGCGGGGTCCCGATGGCACATGGGGTCCCCGGGGGGGCCGGGGCTGCATGCGGGCACCCAAGGGTGCACCGGGGGGGCGTTGGGACTCCCAGGAGCACCTGAGGGGTCTCCAGGGCCGCCCCCAGGGTCCCTACGAGCACCCAGGGGCGCCTTTGGTCACCCAGGACCACCCGGGGGTCCCCAGGAGCACCCAGAGCTGCACCAGGACACCCTGGGGGTCGACCCGAGCCACCGCAGCACCCCCATAGCCCCCTTTTGCCCCCACCGCCCCCCAGCAGGTGGCTGCTGCCGAACGAGGGGCGGGGGTTGGTCCCGGCGGGGGTCCAACCGCCCCCCCTCCCCGTCACACGGTGCTCTCCAGCATCCAGTGGGTGCTGCCGAAGGAGGGGCGCAGGGGGGGCCCCAGGGGAGTACCCTCGGGCGCGTCCAGCCGCGGGAGGGAGCCGTGGCGTCGGGGGCGCGCTCGCCGGGGGTAACTGTGGCTGGGGAACAACGCCCGGGACCCTCCGAGCCCAGGACCACCCCCGGGGCCCTCCCC